GTTTATGTTACACTTCCACAATGCCTATATTGTAGGGCTCTAGTTATTAGCCTAAGCGATAGTCTCGTTATCCTATCTTGCTAAACATAGCTACCTATATTGCTATAGGTTATGTTACCCTCGGTAGCCTATACTATTGCTACAAGTAGTAGTAGTAGTGTTGGTTTCCGTCCTTTACTAGACCCTATAGATGTCTATAGCTATTTTAACTCCTTACTAGTATAGAGGGTTAACTAGTATACGCGCTACGTCTAGTATAGGGGTTATAGGTTATACTAGTTCTATAGGTTTATTCGTATATAGATTAGTATATATCTAGGTCTCGTATCTAGTAAGATATGTCTTAGTTTGCTTAAACTAGCGGTCCTAGTCGTTTAGTCCTCGAAGGGTAATGTATTTAGTACCGCTAAGGCGACTAGCCGATAAGAGAGCTATTATTAACAATATACTAATCTTATAGGCGCTTATAGAAGCTTAATTAAGTAGTAGTAGTTATTTTAGTGCTATTAAGACTGCTAATTGTTATCTTATGCTATAGAAGTCTCTAATACTACGGATTTCCGGGCTTATAACTATTACGTATAGCGTAGTAGATTACTTACGTAATACTGCCTTGCTAGCTGTTTAATATAGCTTCGATTGATCGCCTATATTCTGCTTATTCTATAGTCTAAAATACAGTATAGAAATCCTTCTCCTACTAAGAAGTTACGTGCTGTTATGTAACTAAGCTTACGCGTTATAGCGATGCCCTTAGTCTAGCCTGGTTTGCTATAAAAGGCCGCATAGCTTACCTAGCTAGAACTACCCTACTATACATTATTAACCTACAAAGGCTAATCGAGACTCCGATAGCCTCGATAAGATAACTATAGGCGTAAGAGCAAGGGTATAAAAGCAGGAGATGTCGGAGAAGCAAGGCTGCTCTAGTTCGTAAGTAGCATTGCCTTAAAGGTACGGCTATATTCGGCTGTTCGCAAAAGGGAGGCAATTTGGGTAGTAAACCGCTTAGTAAATCCCCTATAATAACTCGTTACTAAGCGGCGTTCGTCGGTTAAACAGGGATTAACCCCTATAGTGTCTATATAGTTAGCTTTCGGAAGGTAGACTGTAGGTAAATAAACAGGCCTCAATTAGCCTCGTTTATAGGTGCGTTAAGCCTCTTTAAGCGCTTAGCCCTTGTTGCCGCTATCGGCCTATATATACGACTTAATTGCCTTCGTATTTCTAAACTCAATCCTGCTAAGAAGTATATAACAATATAGCGAGCTTCTAGGCCTTTATAGAAGAGGGTTGTAACGACGATAGTAATAACAATTAGCTAGATATGTCCGCTAGATTAATAGACGAGGATAAGTTAAATGCTAATTAGCTAACTAAAGGAAGGGAGCCGGTATTTAAGAAGGCAGGAGAGCCTATACTAAGCGGCGTAGAGAGTAAGCCTACGGAAGTCGTAGAAGGAGATAAAGAGATCGAAGATATAGGGGTAGATAGTAGGGTAGGCGGACTATGTTATCCGAAGGACGGAGAGACAATAGAAGGTCGCTACGAGCTACTAACTAGCACCCCTTACCGGCGGCAGGTTAATTTGCCTACAGACCTAAGTAGTAACCTGTCGTTACTAGATAACGTCTAGTATCGCTTCTTCTTACTCTTCTAGACCGATAAGGTTATAGACCGACTCGTTAACTATACTAACGAGTATACTATTAATAAGCCGGACTTTAAGAAGGGTAATAAGATCGTCGTTTCCGGCTATCTATAGAAGCCGGTAGACAAGCTAATAATACGGATCTTCGTAGGTATTATTATTTACATGTCCGCAATCTAAATAGCCGATAAGTCCGATTATTAGCGCGACGATAGATACTAGCTATTATATCCTATTATCGGTTACATAAGTAAATAGCGGTTCAAACAGATTAAGGCTACTTTGTAGTACCGGAGTAACGCGCTCTCGTTAAGTAGAAGAGGCCTACCTAGCTAGACGTAGATCCTACCTCTTACTAACATTTTACGTAGCAAATTCCGCGAGGTAGTCGTACCTAGTACTAATGTATCTATTAACGAGAGCATAATCCGTTTTACTAGTAAATCTAGGCATATAATTATAATGCGAGGGAAGCTAATACCAATTAGATACTATATCCTATACCTATATAAGGATAGGTACCTATATTCCTTCCTATTCTCGAGTCTACGGAAGGTATATAAGTAGGAGATTAATAAAGACCCGGATTCTATCGCCGCGGCGGTCGCTAAGCACCTAGTAGTAACGCTAGAGGTTCTTACGGATGCTAAGGCGAAGGAGCGCTATAAAGAGAGTAATAAGAAGCGCCGCGAGCGAGAGTTACGAGGTCTAGGAGGTGTTAGTTATAGTAAGAACACTAGATTATATTTAGTTTAGAATATAAGGAAGGAAAGTTATATAAGCGCGGCCCGCGCGGACCGCACTTCCGAACTAACCGAAAGCCTAATCGTATCGCCTACCGTCTCGCTAAGCGCTAAACTAAGCTCGCTTTAGTAGGCTATCCTTTAACTAATCTTATAACTTCTATTCCTATAATACTTCTACTATATTTTTATAGACAATCTATTTAATAACGTACTATTATTCGCAGTCTTACGATATCTCGGTATTGCGGCGACTAGAACGGTACGATCTAGCTTACTCTCGTAGCCGTAGCGAGGCAAAACCTTCGAGAAACTAGGGACTTTAAAAAAAGATAGTATAAGGTAGAAATCTATATACCTAGGTCTTAATCGCAAGACGACCCGGTTTCCCTACGATATACTACTTTATAAGGCAATTTATAGTATAGCGGCGGTAATCTAGTAGGATAGGAACCTCGTCTAGTTCCTTATAATAGGTTGTCGACCCTTCGAGCGGATACGACGGCTTCGCGTATACCCTCGAGCTAGAAACAACGCCTATATCGATAAGTACGTAAGACCTTATTAGATAACCGACGGCAAACAAGAGATGCTTCTACTAGAGATTGCTGCCCTATATAATAACTATATAGGTAGCGTTAATATTTATAACTAGTTGCGCTATTATTGCTCGATATAGTATAAGTTACGGAAGGGTTAGTACCCCTTGTTCTACTTCCTACTCGACGCTTTAGTTATTAACTTATTTATCCTTCTACGAGGTAATAAGCAGTAGACAAAGGACTAACAGTTTACTTACTAACGCGACTTCCGTATAGTACTAGCGTAGCAAATAGTCTAACTCGGTTAGTAAGAGATTAACGAGAAACAGGCTATAAAGGCGGCTTTAAGGGCATAGCGTACTCTAACTCCGCTACGGCCTCGAAGCTATAGCTAATTTGTTTTAGATTATACCTATAATACGAGCGGCTCTCGATCTCGTCGCTATTAGATTAAGAAGGGTAATAGTCTTCCTATAGCCGAAGAAGCTCGTCGCCTCGCTCGTAGTAGTAACGCTATATATAACTAGAAGGCTGTTCTACGACGCTAACGTTACTACCTATATAAGTACGTAAGGACCGCTTAGGGGTTTAAACACTAGCCTACTAACAAGAACGATAAGTACTATATAACTTACGCCTACTTATATTATAGACCTATCGCCTTATATAAGGTATATAATATAATATAGTATAACTAGCCTAATCTCTATACCTTCTTCGAGAGCCTAAAGCTAGATTTAGTACCTACTAGCGCTTTAACCTCTAGCGATTAACTATAGTCGCTATTGCCTATAGATTAGCTTTATAGCTAATACTTAAGGCGTACTACGACTTTACGAGCTCGGCAATAGTCTCTTCTAGTTAGTTTACCTAGCGCTAAAGTGCCTTAAACTCCGCCCTTTTAATAACTATTACCTTACTTCGAGAGCCTTCTTCGGCGGAGCTAGCTACTACTAGCGACTTCTTAACCTCCTTCTATAGAAGGTTTACGTCTACCCTTAAGTCCCTTACTACCTCCGCGAGACGGTTAACCTTCGCTATAAGTAGACTAATATTAAACTACTTCTTAAGTAGACTCGGCGGCTCGAGAAGGGCTTAAAGTGTATCTTTACTAAGCTTATAGCGCCTTAGTCGACGGCGTATACGAGATAACTAAGACTCGGTTATTAGTAGTAGCTAATTAGTATTAGAAGGTCTTAATCTATAGTCTATTTGTCTATATACCTGTCTCGGTAGCGTGCTTAGCGCCTCTATTATGCCTTCTTCTATACCTTCTTCTTTACTTACTAAGGTTTGCTATAAAACCTTTACTAGGGGACGACTCGTAAAGGTGTCGGCTTCTTAACCCTAAGCTCTACTACGGCTAAATCCGAGACCTAATCGGATAGTATCGCTATTCGAGTAGTAATGCAGGTTTGTATAGAGCTACACCGGATTTAGCATAGAAAGTGGAACCTAACAAGGGGACTACTAGGGTGGGTGTTCGACGGACTTAACCACGGACTTCGTTAAGGGGATCACCCGGAGACCAGTCCTAGATGTCTTCGGCATATTATTATACACCTCGAACCCTGCCTGGCAAGTGAGACACACTACTTCGCACATAGCGTTGTTGGTCTGCTGCTGGTGCGCCAAACCAACAGTCTTGCTTGCAGCTTCCTCGTATGAAAGCCTAGCTCTGTGTTGTTACTCATCACTGTCATTGTTGTTGAACCAGATCTTCTCCAATCGCCCGGGCGGTAGATCGATCGACACCGAAACTCGTGAATCATGATCACCTATGAAAGACAATCACCAATGCCGGAATGAGCTCGAGCTGCTCGACAAGGTCGTCCTGTCCAGACGGGCTTGGTCCCAACAGGGCCAACACAATCCAGAACTCAATTGCAGCCGCATTGGGAAACTACCTTCAAACCAGACCGCGTGTGCCCTGGTATGATGCCAGGCATGCCGGATGCGCTCGGGCAACACGGTCCATCGAGCGACTACAATAACTAGGAGTAGAGCCATCGAAGCGCACACCACACCCTTCGCCTCGATCGACCGTCCCACACGCATCAACCAGCAAGCACCATCTTCCCCTCGAATCAAGATGCGCGGCATCCTCTTAGCCACCACCTTCCTCCCATCCGCTCTCGGCTGCATTCTCTTCAACGCCACCCTCCACAACGGCCCCCGAACCGCCAGCTCCGCCGAAGACGCCATAAAAATCGCCAACAATCAACAGAGCGGCGACACGACCCGCGACCAGCGTCTAGACCTATACCTCTGGGACGACACGAACAACAACTTCGTCGTGGACGTCCTCAAAGACTCCTTCTGCTCCGGCGTCGACCTGAAGCCCTACGAAGACAACTCCTGGGCGGTGAAATGTAGCCCGCCCGAGAGGGCCGTCGAGCTCGATGTACACTGGGACCCCGACATTACGGACGGCGGCGTGCTCGTCAATGTTTTGAAGTATAAGAATCCGAAGGGGCAGGCGAAGAAGTTCAACGATCCGGATAAAGATTTGGTGTATTCGTTTCAGACGGGGAGTAAGGATGAGAAGGGGGAGTTTTTCGAGGCGAGGATTTTTTGTAATGATTGTAAGGATCCGAATGGGCAGGGGGTTAAGTGTTGATAGATGATGGGAGGTCGCGGGTCGTTAATATACTGTCGGGTAGGGCCAGTCGGTTTGAGAAATTACGGCTCGTGAGGGATGACATGTTTACTTACTCCCTTCAAGTCCGATGTTTCGTATCCGAACTGCCCGTTCTTCATCTTGTCATAAATGATCGCAGCTTTGCAGTGGTAGCGGGTATATATGTCGCTGCATACGAGCTGTTTTGAGCTTGCGTTCTTCGTCTGCCCGGAGACCCACGACGCACTCTCATCTGCTGCTTGCGAAATGTGAGACTGCGGTTTAGTTGTACGTACGAGCTGTTAGAAGTTTTCTGCGATTCGAAATCAAACAGGATTTGCAAATCGAAGCACTTCTGGTCTCCCGCCAACAATAAAATACTTATCTGAACAACGCGAAACCCCATTCTCTCTCAAAGCCAGACTATCTGTGTCGAAGCCATGCGAGGGAATCGGTACGATAGCATGCTGTCGCCATTCCCCAACTGCATGATTATGTGAACTCATCAGCATGCATCTACAGAAGACATCAAAGGTTGGAGTTATGATAAGTTACGGTCGCTCAGCAGCAAGATGTCTCAACACTGACAGTGTAAGCATTCATCATTGCCGCTCTCGGTCCGCATCGGAGCGAGCAACTCTGCTCCTCTCGCCAAGCATACCATTAGCCGTGCGTCGGATAAGTTTGCCTCCTCCCCTCACACAATGACTGGTGGGAACAGCAGATTTCCCGGGCAGCAATAAGAATGATACGAGAAAGCCAGCAATGAAAGAGGTGGAGCCGGCCAGGAGGACTCCGCATATTCTACATAGTTACCGAAACTCTTATTATCAGGCAGGGCCGCAAGAGGGTTTTAAATAAATCCTCTGGATCTGACCAGACATCCCAGGATACCACGTGGACAGGATGAAGCTCACAACAGCCTTGCTGGCTGGCTTGACGGCCGCCAGCAGCGTCTCGTTCGGCACAGATGAGGGCTGGAGTCCGAAGTTTTCCAGACGAGAAATCGTGAGCCCATCCGCCTGGCCGTATGGACCTTTCTCGACCCAAGGCCGCGATATCATCAACTCGAAAGGCGAAGCCGTGACCTGGGTTGGAGTCAATTGGCCCGGAAGCGGCGAGACGATGGTTCCCGAAGGTCTCGAGTTCTCCAGCGTCGGCGAGATCCTGGACCTGGTGAAAAGCGTGGGATTTAATTTCATTCGGTTGACGTATGCGATTGAGATGGTGGATCAGATTTACGAGCGAGGTGGAGCGGATGTGGGATTGGAGATTGCGATGATTAATGCTCTTGGGTATGAGAATGGGACGAAGGTGGCGAAGGAAATGGTGGCGAAGAATGCGGGTTGGTCGAAGGAGACGACGAGATTTGAGGTTTGGGATAGGATTGCTGAGGAGGCGGCGAAGAGGGAGATGTATATTCATCCGGATGTGCATGTTGGGAAGGCGCAGTGGTAAGTTGGAGATGACATGACATTTTGTGGAGCTGACATAAGGGCTAGGTGCTGTTCTAAGACAGACGGAAACGCGTGGTTCGATGACTATAACTTCCCAGTCAAGAACTGGCATCGAGGCTTGCAGCATACCGCGGAATGGGCAAAGAAGCACCCGAACGTCGTATCAATGTCGTTACGAAATGAGTTTCGACGCAACATCAACCTGACCGACCCAACCATCAACTATGGTTACAACTGGGTCAATCTCGTGGGCAACAGCACCGCGGCGACAGATGCCATTTATCAAACCAATCCCGACATCCTCATCAGCTGGTCCGGCATGCAGTTCGACCAAGACCTGTCAGCACTTGCATCCGGCCTCAACCTCAACACCGCACCGTGCTACAAATGCGACGCCATTCGCGACGGATACACGCGAGAACCCATAGTGTTCGACCTCGACGCCCACCCTTGGGCGGACAAAGTCTTCTACGAACTTCACATGTACTCCATGTCCGAAGATCAAGACACCGACAACTGCGCAATCACCCAAGCACAGCTATACCAAAACGGCTACAACGCGCTTGGAATCGATCCCCCCGCCGCATGCAACATCACAGGAGCCTGCATGAAACCCGTTCGCGTGACTCCCGTCGTGATGACGGAATTCGGCTGGTCTCAGGACGAGACTCTTTTCAATGATACGCTGCAAGGCTGCATCAGAAATTTCACCACCCAGCATGGGATCTCGTGGGCTATGTGGTCCTTGGCGGGTTCTTATCGAATCAGAGAGGGAGGGCAGGGTGTGCCTGATACTTGGGCGCTTTCGAATTATGAGTGGAATGGATGGCAGTTTCCGGAGGGGATTGAGAAGTGGTGGAAACCTTGGGTGGCTGCTATGTTTGGGTCGCACATGTAGATTTGGATTGCGGAATGGTGCTACTGATAAGGTGGCGTGATGAAGCTCGCGTTCGAGGAACGTTGAAAGATTGCATCGCTCGTCTGCGCACTCGCTCTATGCTGAGCCAACCACTATCGCAGAAACCCCATCCTCGACGGCGTCAAACATCGCAGCGAAGCCCAATTCCTCCCGCCCCTTTTTTGACTTTCACCGGATACCCTTACTATCCTCCTTCCCAACCTCCCCATCCCTCACCGTCGTCTCAAACACGTCCATCTCCAGGCCTCCAGTCAAATACGCAATCGCGAGGTTACATCTCGTTCCACGCCAGATTCATTCCTAGACAAACTCCTAGGGAAATCATATCCTAGTTCGCAAAATCCCCCTTACAAAATCTCCATCCTCCACCCGAACCCCATCAAACCACCCTCACTCTCACCCCTCCCCCTCCCCCCTCATCCCCCTTATCTCCCTCAAAACCCTCTCCCTCCCCCACCCCTCTCGCAACCCCCTCCTCAAAACCCCCTGCTCACTCCCCCTTTCGTTCCCGGGCGAATTCCGATCCAAATCCGTCGGAAACCCATACCCCTCCGCAACCGCATGAACAAAAGCCTCCACCTCGCACGAGAACCCCTCGCACCGATATCTCTCCTCCAAAACCTCATACGTCGCCTCAATCAAAGGCAAAGTCTCAACGATCTCCATAGCCTTCCCAAACGCCGAAGAGATCTGGAAAAGATTTGCAGAACGGGAGATGTGCGAGGTAGTGTTGGAACCGGCAGAATGGAAGATAGCGGGGGAGAAGAAAAGGGCGTCGCCGGCAGCCAAAGGGAGGGAGACGTAGTTGTCAAGAAAATAAGTTTGGAAGTCGGAGAAATGCGTGGAAACAAACGCTTCGGGGAAGAGTTGCGAGTAAGGGACAAACCTCGTGGGACCGGATTCCAGCGGCATATCCGTGTGCGCCACCGCACCTTGCAGGGTCAAAACGGCCGAAACCTGATGGCTCGCTTTCGGGAACTCGGCGCATTGCTCCAGACTCGGGAAGCCGAGATGATAGTCCCGATGCGGAATCTGCGCTTCAGAGCCCGGATGCACGATGTTGAGTTGCGCGGTGATGCGGAAGTTCGGGCCGAGATGGGCTTCCGCAACGATGCGGAACCAAGGGTTGGAGTAGTATTCGAAGAAATTTTGGGGGTGGGAGAGGCAGTGTTTGGTGAAAGAGTTCCAGAGGCGGGAGTTGGTGCCGGGGGTGCGGGCGAAGTGGTCGCCTCGTGCTGGTGTGGAGGAGAGGATTGTGGAGAAGGTGGTGTTGGCGAGGGAGATGGTTCGGGCGGAGGGGAAGAAGTGTTTGAGGATGTAGACGCCGGGGCCGGAGGTGAGGATGTGGTAGAGTTCGTCTTGGAGGTGGTCGATGAGAGTGGAGTCGTTGAGGTCGAAGGCTGTGCAGTCGTAGATTGGGATGTTGTTTTCGATGGTCTTTGCTAAGGGGTAGGTTTCTTTGGTTGTCGTCTGTTCGACCAGAGCTTTGAAGGCAGTCAGGCTGGGAGGGTTGTCTGTGGTATAGCATCTCGGTTCGACTCTGCGTGATTTGATTCTTTGCTGGCCCCATGATGGAATGTCGAGATAGTATAGTGCGCCGAGGATACTGGCTGTTGCTGCGATGGATGCCGCTGCGGCCTGAATTCTGTTTGATAACAAAGGCATGGTGCAAAGATGAAGAACTTTGGCGCAGTGATCGCCCGCAAGAGATAGAGATATATGTACAGCTCCGCATCTGAGGTCGGTAGAGAGCGGAGTCTTCGCTTGGCACGTCGGAAATCCCAAGAAAGCAGGTCGACCGCTACGGTAGCGGTGTCGTCGGCACGCGGCTAAAGGGGAACTCAACATATAATAATCAACATTGGGGCGTATGAATCGCCATCGTCGCACAGACGGGTAGCTTCTACCCAAAACAAAACAAAAGGCCTCTCCAGATCACACGGCATGACCATTGACGCCTGAAAGCGCCTTACCATGCCAGCCCAAGAACGAAATCCGAAAAGAGGAGACTTTCATTCCCCTCCTATACTCTCAGTTCCCCTTAATCCCATCCAAAATCTTGGTCAATTCCTTTAGCCTGACCGGTTTCGTCAAAAAGAGGTCGACGCCAGAGCTGAACGCCTCTTGTTGAGCACTCGCGCTTCCCAGCCCCGTCAAGGCGATAATCGTCGCAGGCTCGACGCCCTTCTGCTTTTCAAACCCTCGGATTTGTCGCGTGGCTTCGAACCCATTCAAGACCGGCATGTTGATGTCCATCAGCACGACCTGGGGTTTGTGGCTCATTCGCTGAAGTTTGGGGTCTGGCTTCGACTCGTGGTCCAAGCAGGATTGTTTGTATGCTTCGACAGCTTGCAGACCATCTGTGGCGACTTGCTTGGAGTGGCCGTATTTCTCCGCGTATGTGACGAGGAGTTGAAGATTGATGGGCTATGTCGAAGTCAGCATTGTACAATCGCCGGCACAGATTAGGAGCAACTTACATTATCATCCACAAGCAGCAAGTTGACGCCGCCGTCGACTTCTGCGTTACTCTTGTCTGTCTTTGCTTGTGGTGAGCCTTGTCCAGTACTGACTCGAGGCTTCGTCCCGTTCAACGATGGTGTCGGGATGCGAGGGAATTTGTAATCGGACTGCTGATTGCGATCTTCACCAGATCCGGCAGATCGAGGACTGGTTGACTTTGCTTGGAGTGCGTGTTCCGGCTGCTGGCCAACGATGGTGTCTGTACGTCCGCGATGCGCAAGACTACGTGGATGAGCCGCTGGGTCCGGATGTGGCACCATAGAGGGAATTTCCTTGACAGCTCCTGCGAGCGCGAGGTCTTGAGCAATGTCGCGCTTGTTTCTCAGGCAAGATGTGATGGCTTTGGCGAGTCGTTCCGGTCCTGCGGGCTGTGCAATGAGCTCGATGTGTCCAGTCGCGACATTTCCAAGCCCAGGTGCTCTGAGTCGGCGAGCTGACACAGTACTATCGCAGATGACGATGAATGGTGTGTTGCTCAAAGAGCTGGGTGACATGGGCGCATCAAAAGTGCCCGTGTCTACACGACGGTGCAGCTCATTGTGCAGCTCAGCTTCTGTGACCAGATAGACATCGGCGCCTTCGTCCCCCGCCCACGTGCAGTCAAAGGCATTGACGTTGATCTCGTCCAGCGTCTTGTGAACGCTCGACAGAAGTAGTGCTCTAGCGGTCTCATCCGACCTTTGATCTGCCGATGGAGTAGTTGCGGAATCAATCACGCCCACGGAAACACCTGCGATAGCCCGAGCAAGTCCCGAAATCGACCGCACAAGGGGCGCAGGTCGGTCTGGGTTTCTGGTGCCAGCTCCTCTACCCGTTCGACTGTGTTCCAGGGGTAAAGTGACCGAGAAGCATGAACCTACGCCCTTCTCGCTCAGAACCTCGATCTTTCCTTCGAAAGACTTGACGATCTTCGCGACAAGGTTCATGCCCAAGCCAGTGCCTTCCATCAAACTATCCTCCTGGCTGAAAGCGCGGAAGAGGTGGTTTTCAAGAAAGTCTCTTGACATCCCTTTCCCAGTATCGGTGACAGAGAAGGTAACGTTGAAGCGCTTCTTCTTTTCCGAGGGTTTCTTGTCCATGGCTGGCTTGGCCGATAGACACACTCTGATGTGACCTTGGTGAGTGTATTTAAGCGCATTGGAGACCAGGTTGATGCAGATCCGCTTCCAAGCCCCGACCGCAACACAGCATCTCCAGTCAATGTCGGTCCCTCGATCGATGTCCAGAATGATGGCAACTTTTCGTTTCAGGACTGATTCTGCATCTCTACTACAGCAGAAAGAATAGACTGCAGTCTCAACAATCTCTTCAGTCACTTGATCCAGCGCCACGTCTGCATCCAAAGCCATCAAGCCGCCCATGCGAGATCGTTTGGCAGCATTGGTCGATAGTCGTCGATCCTTACCATCGCGGACACGTCCACCTCTGCTCTTTGAATGATGATTGATCTTGCTGAAATCCAACAAGTGGTCGATGATGTCGAGCAACGTGCGACCGCAGATTTCAACTTGTGAGATCAAATTTGCGCTGAAAGAGTCAAAGGGCTGTTCTTGCAAACACTCCACGCTACCCAGTATACCATGAAGCGGCGATCGCAGCTCGTGGGAAATGGTCGAGATGAAATCTGATTTTGCTCGGTCGGAGTTCTGTGCCTCAATTCGATGGAGCTCGGCTAGGATTACGTCGCAGAAGGCCTGGATAAACTTGACTTCTGACTCTTCGGAGAATAGTCGCAGAGGCGAGTAAGACCAGAATAGAGTAGCCGCGTACCAACGCTGTCTCGTGTGATCCCACATGCCGACGAGACCAATGCTGCGAACTCCAGGGAATAGTTGAAAAATCTCTTTACTGTCGTCCAGCCGGTTTTGCTTCCGTCTCTTGGAGCAGGAAGGGCTGTGCTCTTGCTTGCCGTCGGCCTGGACTGTCCCACTTGAGCAACGGCAAGATTTCGCATCGCTATTGTATTCGGACGACTCGTCATCCTCGGAAGACACATCGCCATATTCATTGAAACTCCAAATTTTGCCGCGAGGATATCTTCGCAGTAGTGAGCGCAAGAATTTCTCGGTAATCATCATTCCAGCCTCGTTGGCTTCATCGCCGCTTTTGGTTCCGGTCATCGAGCCAGAGGAGGACAGCACAGTGCATTTCTTCTTCGCCAGATCTTCGCCAGTGGTCTTCTTGATCATTTTCGCGTCGCCTTCAGTGCCGGTCGTGTTGGTCTCAGAAGCGCTGTGGTGGTTCGTGTCAGAGCTCAGCTCCGTAGTGCTGTTACTGAGGGATTCCGCGGCGTCAACGAGGCCCCCGAACGTTCCGACTGCCGCATCCAAGAACATTACTTCCACATCCATTGCTTCTCGTACCAATGTAGCTGCTCGTTCGAACGTCTTCCGGGTGTCGCGTGTGCCAGGGTCTTCGAAATTGTCGGCCCTGCGGTTGTAATTGAGGTTTTGAGGTCCTTTGCTTATTGGCGGGGGCATTCCGTGGGCCCAACTTCGAGCACGATTTCGTCCGACAGGTGAAGCGTTCGCTGTGCTGGTTCGTCTATTTTCTTCCTCCATTTCCTGCTGCTCACTAGCAATGACAGCCGCTTGAGCAACGACAGAGACTTGGGTGGTCATTGGCTGGACGCCGAGTGGGTGAGCTAGCGCTGGGTCTTTCTCGACATCGAGATCCCAATCTGCGTTCTTTTCTGCCCAGTCTCTGAAGCCGGAGGCGCCATCAATGAATGCACCAAGTCCCGCAATCATCTGAGTTCCGATCTTATGCTCGGCGGTGGCTCGAAGCATTTCCAGATGGGCCATCACAGTAGTGGCCATATCTCGTAAGAACTGTACACCATCATCGCTCATACCATCACGATGCTCATCGTCCAGAACACAATAGGCGCCTATATTGATACCTTTTGGCGTTGTGATGGGCACTCCAGCATAAAACCTGGCTTTCGGGCCTCCTGTCACGAATGGTCTGTCGCAAAAGCGAGTGTCTTCAGCAAGATTGTTCACGATGTGCACGAGGCTGGAATTGGCCTGATCTTTGTTAGAGCCCTCGTTGATATGCGGGAGCATGACCGTGTGCTCGCAGACCGAGTAGCCACGCGGGATAATAGTGTGTCCAAGCCAGAGGTCATCTTCTGCGGCGTGAAGGCTATCGTTCTGCAAGCTGAGTGTTCGCGTTGCTTCGGCGAGAACATATGCATGGGTTGAATCGAAGAAGAACAGCATAGCCCTCTTGACGCCTAAGCGCAATGCTCCCAGTTGGCAGAAGGCAGTCAAGGCCTGGAAAGGGTCAGCCAATGCACGGCAGAGACGGTCAAGTCTACGGTTCTCAGGGCTTATTGATCTAGGCGTCCATTGGACCTACTCGATCGGGCGAAGAAAATGGCGTGTGAGCCTGCACGGCTGCATGGTCGCCAATATCGCATACCGGCGGGCCAGCCTTGGTGAGCTCTCGGATGGGCTGGTAGTAGCTTCCATAAGAGTCGAGTCAGAGATTGCATGAGGACGCTTTCAAAGCTGACGTACCGATAGAACTCTCGAGCTCGCCGACTCTCATGCAACCTCTTGCGCCTCGGACTGTCGGTGCTGGCCATGTCGCCGCCACCGCTGTCGTGCCTGGACTCCTCGAGTGGTGGTGGACATGCTGAGGCAGCCATGACATGTGAAGATCCGTCGTCACAGCTGGTGATGGTGTTATTATTGCACGGCTGTCCCTCCGCCAGCCAGCGCCGCGCCGCCCCGCCCAGGACCAGGGTGTCTCGATGCCGAAGATTCCACGAGGCTGATCTACGTAGTGTAGTGCAGTCATCGGGCGGGGTCTTTCGATGAGACTTCGAGACAGTGGGCCTTGGCAGAGGGCCAGCCACATTAGAATACATGGTGAACACACACATGCAAGGGCCAAGACATTCCGCTAGCTGTCGATCCCCTATAATAACTCGTTGGCTGTCGGCGTTTATCGGTTAAACAGGGATCAACCCCTACAGTGTCTATATAGTTAGTATATAGAAGCCGCTCTATAGATAAATAAATAGGCCTTAATTAGACTCGGTTGTATATACGTTAAGCCTCTTTAAGCGCTTAGCTCTTATCGCCGCTATCGGTTAACTATACTAACTTAATTACCTTTATATTTCCAAATTCTAAGTCGCTAAGAAGCATATAATTATAGCAATAGCGACCTTCTAGGCCTTTATAGAAGATAGGTATAACGACGACGCTAATAACTAGTAGCTAGATATAAGCGCTAGTTTAATAGACGACGATAAGATAAATGCTAATTAGCTAACTAAAGGAAGAGAGCCTGTCTTCGAGAAAGCCGGAGAGCTAATACTAAGCAGCGTAGACGACGAGGGTTTAGTAGTCGTAGAAAGAGATAACAAGGTCGAAGATATAGGGGTAGATAGTAGGGTAGGTAGATTGTATTATTTAGCCGACGGAGATATAAATAAGGGTCGTTACGAGCCGTTACGTAGCATCTCTTACTAGTAATAGGTTAACTTGCTAGCCTACCTATAAGGCGATCTCGAGGCTATTAATAACGTCTAATATAGCTTCTTCTTGCTATTCTAGACTAAAGAGGTTATAGACCGATTAGTCGACTATACTAATAAGTATACGAGAGACAAGCTAGGTTTTAAGAAGGACAACAAGATATGTATCTCTAGTCGTCTATAGAAGCCGGTAGATAAGCTAATAATACGGATCTTCGTAGGCTTAATTATATATATATCTGTAATCTAAATAGACAATAAGAGCGAATACTAGCGCGAAGATAGATACTAGCCGAGATATAGTATCGCTAAATATATAAGCGAGTAGCGATTTAAATAGATTAAGGCTGCTTTATAGTACCGGAGTAACGCGCTCTCGTTAAGCGAAAGAGGCCTACCTACCTAGACGTAGATACTACCTCTTACTAACATTCTACGTAGCAAATTCCGCGAGGTTGTCGTACCTAGTACTAACGTATCTATTAATAAGAGCATAGTTCGGTTTACTAGTAAATCTAGGTATATTATTATAATGCGAGGTAAGCTAATACCTATCGGATATTATATCCTATACCTATACGAGGGCAGGTACCTATATTCCTTCTTATTCTCGAGCCTACGGAAGGCATTTAAATAGAAGGAAGATAATCCGGACTCGGTAGCTTCTATAGTCTCTTAGCACCCGGTAGTAACTCTAGAGGTTCTTATAGACGCCGAGAAGAAGGAGCGGTAGAAGGAGAGTAACAAGAAGCGCCGCAAGCGTAAAAGCCGTAGTCCTAGTAGTATTAGATATAGTTAGAATACAGGTCTATATTTAATAAGGGATATAAGGAAGGAGTGTTATATAAGAGCGGTCTGCGCGGACTGCTTATCCGAAGCAACCGAAAGCCTAATCGTATCGCCTACTGTCTCGCTTAGCGCAAAGCTAAGCTCGCTTAGGTAAGCGGTCCTTCGACTAATTCTATAGCTTCCCTTCCTATAACACTTCTACTATATCTATATAGACAACCTATTTAACAATATACTATTATTTGCAATCCTACGACATCTCGGCATTACGGCGACTAGAACTATACGTTCTAAGTTACTTTCGTAGCTATAGCGAGGCAAAACCTTCGAGAAGCTAGGTATATTAAAAAAGGATAGTATAAGGAAGAATTTAACCTACCTAGGCCTTAATCGTAAGATAATACGGTTTCCCTACGATACACTGCTTTATAAGGCAATTTATAACGTAGTAGCGGTAATTTAGTAGGACAGAAACCTCGTATAGTTCCTTATAACGGGATGCCGGCCTTTCGAGCGAATACGACGGCTTCGGGTATGCCCTCGAGCTAGTAACAACGCCTATATCGATAAGTACGTACGAGTTTACTAGAAGATAGACGGTAAGGAAGAGAAGGACCTTCCGGAGGTTGCTGCTTTATATAATAACTATATAGGTAGTATTAACATTTATAACTAGCTACGCTATTATTACTTAACCTAATATAAATCGAGGAAGGGATAGTACCTATTGTTCTACTTCCTACTAGACGTAGCGGTTATTAACTCCTTTATCCTTCTTCGAGGTAATAAGAAGTAGACTAAGGACTAATAGTTTACTTACTAACGCGACTTCTATATAGCACTAGTATAGCAAATGGTTTAACTTAGTTAATAAGAGCTTAACTAGGTAGAGGTAGTAGAGGCCGCTACGAGGGCTCTTCGTACGCTAACTCTACTACCTCCTTATACTAGTAGTCGCTTTGTCTTAGGTTATACCTATAATAGTAGGAGTAGAAGATCTCGGCGCTATTAGATTAGGAAAGGAGACAGTCTACCTATAGCCGAAGATATACGTCGACTCGCTCGCGGTAGTAACGCTATCTACTAGCGATAGTCTATTCTACTAATATAACGTTACTATCTCTATAAGCACGTAAGGACTACTTAGGGTTTTAAATACTAGCCTCTCGGACGTATACAAGAGTACTAGACTATAATAGCGTGCTTATATTGTAGCCCTATAGCGCTCTACAACCTATGCGACGTAATATAGTATAACGAGGCTAATCTATAGTCCTTCTTCGAGAGCTTAAGACTGTAACCTAATAACCCTTCGAGCGCCGCTAGCGATTAACAATAGTCGCTATTGCTTCTATATTAGACTTAGAGACTACACTTAAGGCATACTGCTGCTTTACGATTGCGGCAATTATCTTATAGAGGTAAGCAACCTAGCGCTATAGTGCCTTAAACTCCGCCCTCTTAACGACTATTGCCTTACTTCGAGAGCCTTCTTCTTTAGCGGACTAAGTAGCTATCTACGACTCTATAACCTCCTTCTTTAGTAGAAGGTTTAGGTCTACCCTTAAGTCCCTTACTACCTCTATAAGGAGGTTTACCTTTATAGTAAGTAGACTAATATTAAACTACCTCTTAAGTAGACTCGGCGGCTCGACAAGTGCCTAAAGTGTCTCTTTACTAAGCTTATAGCGCCTTAGTCGACGGCGTATACGAGATAGGCGAGACTTAGTTAGTAGCTAATTAGTTATTAGAAGGTCTTAATCTATAGTCTATATAGTCTATATACCTATTGTAGTAGGGAAACCCGGCTTAGTATAGGTGTGCCTAGTTATACCCTCTTCCCCTGTTTTTGTATATCGGAACATATACAACTACCTTTATAATTAGGACATATATATATAATACAAGGAGACACAGCTACGACAATATATAGCAAGAGAGATATAGGAAATGTACCTAATCTAGCTGCAATGTAGCCCTCCCTACGTCTATTCTCTTCCTTTTAATATTTATAACGCTTTCCCTTCGAAGTATATAATACTACGCCGACCCCTCGCAGTTTACTAAGTACTAGGCCTATAGTATACAGTTCCCTATATATGTACCTCTACCTACGACCTACTCGTCCCGCCTATATTTTCTAGAGCCGAAGGTAGGGCTATCTTTATTCATTTAAAGGTGCAGGTATATATATAGTTAAGAAGAAACGTTTATAGCCTTCGCCTAGAGCGAGGACTACACTACTAATATAATACTACCGCTAAAGAGACCTTAGTAGTATCGAGACGTCCTACTACTAATAAACCGTTACCGACTTAAAGTAAAAGGAATACCGTTACCGACTTAAAGTAAAAGGAAACACTGTTTACGAATGTTACGACTCCCTACCTGTCTGTAGCAGGCGGGACCTTATAAGAAACGACCTATATAGAAAGAAACCTAAGAGCCCGCTACAAGAAACTAGAGATAGGGATACGAAGAACCCCGAAAAGTCGATAGCCCCCTATCCCTTCCGCTAATCGGCGCGAGCCTAACTTAAAACCTCCTTCCGGGCTATTACGACCCTTCCGCGGTGCCGTAATCGGCATACTACGAGGCAATAGAAATTAATAAAAGAGGAACAAAGGGGGCCTAGAACGGGTGTAGCAGGTATACTAGCTAGCTAGCTAGGTAACATTCGCCGCCCCCTTTATTCTATATATATGCGGACTACCGCCTACCCTCCCCTTACTTCGAGAATATAGACGCGATACGTACTACAAAGTACGCTATAGCCCGTCTATGCTCCCTCCTTACCTTAAGCACAACTAGCAACCTATCTAATTTTATCGATACTATATCCTTCCTATTTATTCTAATCGTTTATCGTCTTCTATAAATTGTTTATTCTATCGACGAAATAAGCTCCTAAGAAAACAATAACAACCCTACCCCGGCGGAGCCGCCTTTGTAGGCCCCCTCTAATACCGGTACCTACCGAGACCTACTACTAAACTTTATTCGCAACTACTTCGATACTAACTCGGATGCCGAGAGGACTACGGCCTCGGGAAGCGATAAGGATACTAGTATAGAAAATAGAGAAGCGACTTAAGGAGGCACTGCCTAGGAGGGTAGTACTCGAGAAGTTCCCTAGCAGCCTATCTAGGTAACCGGAGGGCTATCCCCTCAACTTCTCTAAGGTCTTCTTTAGGCCTTCTCGGACTTGAAGCCGTAGATACCCCTCCTAGGGACCGTTAAAAACCCCCTCTTTACTAGAGAAAACGCTACTAACTTTGTTAAAAGGTTTTCTACTATCCTTAAGCGATACTATCTAAGGGCCGAAACGGCTACTACGGTGAAGCTCCTTATAGCCAATTGTGAAACTAGTATCCGACCCCGAGTTGCTCGGCTCCTAGGTAGTAAGCCTCTTATATAGGAAGCCTTCTTAAAGAAGTTTAAGCGCGAGTTTGCTAACTAGGATGTCGCGGTTCGGCTAAACTCCCGCGAGTACCTTAAGCAGCTATATACTAGACAAACAGCTAAGAGTAATGCCCTTCGCTTTTGCTAGGACTTCTATAGCATCGCTAAAGGGATACTAAGGAGGCTTCTTAACAATGTTACGAGGAGCCGTCTGTTTCTAAAGGGCTTAGGAGGTTCTATGCCTACTATTATGCCTCGGATCTACGAAAAATGTAGCATCTACCCTTACGATAAGGAATCCTATACCGACTTCGAACAGATTTATCGTACTAGGTACGACCTAGCTCGTAGCCGATAGGGCTTCTCGCTCCTTACTAGTAACGATAGTAGCTATTTAAAAGAACTGCGAGAGACAGTTAAGAAAAGAATGCTAAGCATACGCCCTACCCTAGATGTCTAGCGATAGGGGGTAGCCCTTAAGCTAGTTACGGACCCCGGTATCGACGACCTTATTAAGCAGTTCTAAGAACTGAAACTTCACGTCCTCTCCCGAGACAATTAGAGGGGCCCTACTATAGGTCCGGTTAATACTAATACCGATTCGTATACCCTATAGCGCCTCTATCCCCTTTAAAGCGACAATACCCCTATAACTCAGATATATAACAACTAGTTTACATAAGGGCTAACCTTCGACGCCTTTACCTTTTAATTTATCCCTAGTATAGAGGGTCGCTATTACTATTGCGGAGCTGAAGGCTACCTTCGTCTAAACTATAGGCCCTACCGGTATATATAAGATTAAGGGTTCTGCTATATTCGGGACCGTGCGTAGTACTTCGGGCCCCTAGGTATACTATACGCTACCCTATTCCGCTTCCGTAACAGTCCTACCCTCCTAAAGCTCGCTATTATGCTTCCTCTCCTCGAGGCCTATTACTAGTAGGAGATTGTTTTCCTACCTAAATTTAGAATAGAAGCCCTTCGAAAACAATTCAACTATCCTTCTTAGCAACTAAGGCGAACTATAGCCCCTAGTGCTGTAGCTTAACTAGGCCCTCGAGTTCCGACTCCTTAAGCCCTAGCTCCGATAATTCCTTCTACTCTTCCCCCTCTACCTTTAAGGTCTCTAGGAAATCCCTACGGAGGGATCGCTTTAAACGATGCTCGAAACGGCCTTCCTACCCCTACTACTGCCCCTACTACTACTAGGCGGGTTATGCTATACTAAAGGCCCTACGATCTAAGTATAGTCGAGGAGGCCGATAAAGAGCTAGATTTTAGCGACTACGAGGCGGCTATAGTTGTAGATACCCTTGCCTATACTCGTAGCTAGGATACACCGCTTAGGAATAGTCTTCCCGTTACCGCTATTGCCGACACAAATCGGATCCGGAAAGCTACTACTAAGTAGAAAGGTGCTACGAAGACTAAGGGCATTTGCAACGTAGTTTAAGGGCTTAGCGTTCGCGAGGTAGAAGAAGCAATTCGTAAACAAACCTAGCCTCGAAGAACTACTCAAAGGTCCCCGAGCCTACTACCTCTAGGAGCAAGAGCTTAGTCTAAGGAAACGGTTAGTCGTAGAACCCCTACTACTAGCCCTTCTAGTACCTATAGGCAGCCTACTACTAAATCCTTAAATAGTGACGCTAGCCTACCTAAGGATAGGGATTAGGAAATAGATAACGTACTACCGCCTACCCTAAAGCCTGCCGCTAAAGAACTATCGAAGGGGGTAAACCCTCCGAGCCGGTAGAGAGCTACGCGAAAAGAGCCTAAGACAACTAATATTATAAAGAATCTTTAGAAACACTATAAGGACCCCGACTTTTAGGTAAAGAAATTCCTTAGTAGGAACGGTATGTAGCTTAGTAATGCTAAGGCCCTCGCCTATATTCCGGAGTGTTAAAAGCTCGTTATACGCTAGCTAAACGACAACGCGCTTACTATAAGGATTCGGGAGCTAGAAAAGGATGAAACCGACAAGATCCCCTACTAGATTATAGAAATAGTAGGTAGGGTAGCTACCTTAGCTGCTAGGAAAGGTAGACCTAGGCGGCCTAAAGACTACCCTATTCTAGTCCTTACCTCCGCCCGGGAATTCTTTACTAGCCTCGACGAGGAAGAAAGCTACGAGGAATACGAGGCTACTAACGAAGAGGTTGTCCGGGACCCTAATTCGATTAGCCGGAGGAACAGACTTGACTACTACGTAGTATAGGTTATTTTATCCGGAGTAGATGCTCTGCCTAACGAGATGCTCTATATCGACCCTAGCTAGATTCGCCTCTTATCGGTTAACGACAACTTCGCCCTTATTCCTAGTCCGTATATTACTATTACTATTAATAGGTGCCTTAAGATCCGCGCTCTTATTAATAAAGGCTCCGAGGGGAACATACTAAACGCGAAGTTCCTATAGCGAGCTAGCCTTGCTCTATTAAAGGGTCTTATTCTAAACATACGAGGAGCTAGAGGAAGGGCTAAATTTATCGGTATTAGCACTTCCGTTCCTATCTCTACCTTTAATGTCGAGTATAAAACCGACTTCCTTATTATACCCTTAGGGGATAACGACCTCCCTATTATTCTTAGTCGCCCGTAGGCTCGTAAGAACCGCCTTGTCGCTCGAAATATAGACGACGGCTCCTAGGAAGGAACTATTTCTACGCGCGGGGGCCGCTCTACTACCTTTACTACCCTTGCTAGCTCTAAGAATTGTATCCTACTTAAGGAGCTCCTTAGTCGCAATAACACCTAGCAGTTAAAAAACTAGGTAGCGGACGAGAAACTAGCGTCGAGTCTGCCCCTTTTTCGAAACCACTAGGTAGGGATATTATACGTACCGTTACGACCTATTATTTAATAAGAAATGTTGTTGCGGGGCTATATAGCAAAAAGGATAGTAACCCTAGGGTATGCTAGCTAGCTAGCTAGGGTATATTAATTAGTCCGGTAGCCGGCCCGCCCCTGCTCCTACTATCTTTTCCGACCTCGCTTAGACTAGCCCCGGCTTGTCCCGGTATTCCCGGCGGCCCCGGCATTCCCGCGTCCCCGTAATTGCCTTCTAGTAGCACCCTATATAAAAGCCGCCTAGCTAGGCACTATATCTAGGAGCGGGTATACGACGACGTATCGGTCCTAGCTATATAACGCTAGTCCTTTCTCGAAGATTCTTCCTAGCTATGCCCGACGAATAGCCTTACCTAGCTCGGGCGTACGGAGGCGATTCTCGAGCCTATAACTCGTAACGACTAGGCGACAATCCTTTAATAGTCGGAGGCGAATAGATTTTGTAACTAGTATAAGCGGCACTATAGGTTTTAGAGCTTTCGAAGGTTCCCTACCTAGCTACTATCTATTAAGAGGATGCTTAAGGAAGATTCGGATACTAGCCGTACGGTCGGAGTTTATAGCATATACAAGAAAAAGGCAGACAAAGTAAGACCTATAGAAGCTAGTACTACGATAACCGGGAGTGTGACGACCGGTAGTAACCCTTACTAGAAAAAGAAACGGCTTGCTCGAGAAGCGTTGCTTCCGCCTAGAACCGGACTATATAACTAGAAGTACCTAATTAAGAAGTTCTTAGACATACTACGTAGCTCGCGCCTAACTAAGGAAAGGAAAGCAAAGCTTCTTATTAGAATGGAACTTCTTCCTAAGGAGCTAGATCTATTCTATAAAATGCTTTATAATAGGGAAAAAGCCCTTACCTAGAGCTTTGCCGAAATTAGAAGAGTCGACGCGGATATAGTACCTCCCTAACGGATCCGAACAATTCCTTATAAACCCTAGAGAAAACTAACCTTCCGCCTCTAGCCTAGCCTAGTAAACATTGTAGAAGAAATGATCCGAGAACGAATTGCGAATAGGGTACTTAAAGTTAGCGAAGGAGTATACCGGAACCTATAGTTCTTAGTTTAGAAGAAAGGAACTAAGAAATATCGCCTAATTAACGCTGCTATAGAGCTAAACCGCTATATAATATAGGACGGAAACCTCCCTCCTAATACTAACAGCTTTACCGAGGATTTTGCTAACTATACTATCTCGTCCCTAATCGATTTCTTTTCCGGATACGACTAAGTCCCGCTTTACGAGGCCGATCGAGATATAACTGCCTTTAATACCCCGCTTAGCCTTATACGAATAACTACCCTTCCGCAAGGAGCGACAAACTCCGTTGCCTAGTTTGTCCGAGTAGTAATAAGAATCCTTTTTAACTACATTTCCTACTATACGAGGCCGTTTGTCGACGACATTAGTATTAAGGGCCCGAAGACCCGATATAATAATAAAGAGGTCGAACCTAGCCTAAGAAGATTCGTTACTAAGTACATTCAATAGATAGATAGTATTCTTATAGACATTAAGCGTGCTAGGTATGCTATTTTAGGTCTGAAATCTTAGTTCCTCTATAAAAAGCTAAAATATATCGGCTACGTTATTAATATTTCCGGAAGACACCCTAATATAGAGAAAGTTGCAAAGATTGTCGCATAGCTAATACCTAAGAACTAGTCTAGCGTACGGGCCTTCCTTAGGGTTTGTATCTACTACTATATCTAGATCGAGGGCTTCGCAACGATAGTAAGACTACTCTTCTACCTCCTAAAGGCCGATATCGAATTCTTATAGAGACCGGATTAGCAAGTCGCTATAGATACCTTAAAGGCTGCGCTAACTACTACCCCTACTCTTGTCTCGATCGATTATACTAAGGGTGCTAGGTTAATTATCCTTCTATTAGACGCGAGTGGATCCGGATATAGTAGTAGCCTAAACTAGTGCGAAAGGGACAATATAAAGAAGCGTTACCCTATTCGGTACGAAAGCGGCCTTTAGACCGAAAGTAAAGCCCGATATAATGCTAGCAAACGAGAGTGCCTTGCCGTACTTAAACTACTAAAGAAGTTTAAGAAGTATCTCGTTAGGTAGTACTTTCGGATCGAAATCGATACTGCTACCCTTATCTACTAGCTTAACAAATCCGCCTCGGACCTCCCTAACTCTATAATAGCTCGCTAGGTAGCCTAGATCCGACTGTTCGACTTCGAAGTTAAGTATATCCCCGGGCGAAAACACTCTGCGGCTAATAGTCTATCCCGTCGTAACCCTACTAAAGAGGATATCGTCGAACGAGATAACTAGGTCGACGACGATAATATAATCGACAACGACTTCTTTTATAGCATAGTATAGTCTAAGCCTATCGATCCCTTAGCTAAGTCTAGTTTCTTTAACGAGGACGAATACTAGTCTCGAGAATCGCTTCTTATCGGATACTTTAAATCGACCCTTCGCTTTCCGTAAGGTATCTCTCGAAGCGAAGCCCGAAGGGTTCGACGTACTGCCTAGAAGTACATTATTAAGGATCGGCTCCTTTTCTACTAGCGTTATCCGAATTGTCCCCTTTAACGAGTAATTAATAGCGAAAAGGCTAGGGAGGAAATTATCTAATCGCTTTACGAGGATTATAGCTATAAAGGCCGGGAGGTAGTGTACTATCTAGCCTCGAAAAGATACTTCTAGTATAGAATGTAGTCCCAAATCGCTATATAGGTTCGGTCCTATCGTATATACCGGATACGAGAAGGATACAAGATTGCTAGGACGCTTTACCCTATCTATATTCGAGTTATTAGCCGTCGCTAGGTTGCCGATATACTTTATATCGACAATAAGGGGTCTATTGCCTTAGCGCGTAAGGTTGTTAGCGGCTAGGTAGAGGGGAGGATATTCAACTGCTCGGGCAAGTCGGTTAGTATATAGTAAATAGCTAAGTTCCTATACGAAGAAGTCTATTGCCGATATAGCTGTCCGGATGAATTCGTTATAGATAACGGATCTAAGAATCGGAAGGACACTAAGGAATTGCTTAAGCGAATAGCTACGTACCGGGTACGGATTTCCCTATACTATCCGAAGGCAAATAGTTAAATCGAGGTTAGAAACCGACCTATCCTAGCTACCCTTTCTAAACTAACGAACGGCACTATAAATGGTTAGAGAAAATACGTCCTACCTGTCCTATAGGCCGACCGAACGACATACCGACGAACGACTAGAAAAACGCCTACTAAAGTTATATATAGAGGGGCCGACGTTATCCTTCCTATCGAGAATGTCTACCGAACCTTCTAAAAGGTTAATTAGGATACTATACGCGACACTGCCTCGCTACTTATATACCGTACTTAATAACTAGTATATGTGCCTAACGACAACGAAGAGGCGGCCCTTCGGCTAAAGAGGACTCGCGAGGAGAATACTCGCTAGCACGACGAGAAGGGAGCAGTATCTAACGCTCCCCTTAAGATTAGGTCCCTTATGCTTATTACTAGGAGCGAAATCGAGCACTCGAGGTCTAGTAAGCTTACCTTTCGCTAGAAGGGCCCTTTTCGTATTACGGGGATTACTACCTCTAGGACCTCGTACTACCTTACGGAACTCGATAGGGCTAATCTAGCTATTACCTTTCTACGCGATCGACTAAAGGAAGTACCTCTATTCCGACCTAACCGGATCTCGGGTAAAAACGCTACTACGACGAACAACGAACCTATTAATAAAGAAGTCGAGGCAGATAGAGATAGCTAGTCTAAGTCCTCCGAGTCTAGGGACGATAGCTAGTCTAATACTAAGTCCGGTAAAGAAAGGGATATAGACGTCTATACGATTACATCCCTTCCTAAGGAGGAGCAAAGGCGAGCCTTTTAAGCCTATACTATAGCTATATACCGAGTCGACCCTAAAGTTGATCCTATCTCTTAGATTAATAACCTAATACGGGACCTTCTTAGCGTACCCCTTATAGAAGATTACTCGAATAACTATCTCTTCTTTAATAGCTCGACCGAACCTAATAGTTTTCTAGCTTTTAACTACCTAGCCCTATTTACCTAGGGAGGGGTAACCTAGCCTTTAGCTTAACACTATAGATTCGGCTAGATAGCAATTCTATATAGAAGGTAGGATCTATACGAACAAGCCTACTACGTTAGCGCTCTTCCGAGGCTTACCTAGGACCCTAGCTTTCGACTAGCACTATAGCGAGACCCTAGCTAGTAGACGACCTAAAGAGTCTAGGTCTACGACGAGATAAATATATTGAAGTTCGAATACAACCTATATCTCCTTAAGGCCCTAGTAGAGACTAGCCTTGCTGCCCTAGTATATACTAACCTATATAGGCGGCGAGGTATTAGATTTCTCGCCTAGGAGGCTATAGACAACATTGCGAACTAGGGAGACAACGAATATAGGCTGTCCTTAATAAGAATACGAGATAGGCTTCGGCTTACCTAGATCGAACAAGAGGAGCTCCGCGGCACCGCTAACTCTAAGGGCCTAGGCTTAAACCCCGGAGCTTTTAACGAACCCTTAGAAGCGGAGTAGGCTATAGAATACAACGAAAATAGACTACTACTACCTTAGTAGGCCCGATAAACCTACAACTACTCGCGTATAGCCTCCCCTTTTGCTCCTATTTACTCGCTTTATACCGAATTTTTTACTCGCTAGTACCCTTATTCGCGTATTTAAACGGATTATCGACGTATACTAGGATCGATTGTCCCTTTATACATTAGTAGCTAGATAGAGTACTACTACTAGAGCCCTATCGTTGCTTCTTTTCCTTTACACTACTACCGACGAGGGTAGGGGCTTTAGTAAGGAGCCCCTATCCTTAATAATATCCCTAGACCTGCTCCCCGGGGTAGTCTAAGTACCTACCTACCCGTAGAGCGAGTAAATAATTTTAACTCGGCAAAAAGGGACCTGCTAGAAGCTCTACGTCGCGCCTAGCTTACTAAAACCGAAGCCTACTCTACGGAGTGAGCCTAGGAAAACCTTACCTAACCTTAAAAATTTCCTTTGTTCGAAACCCTTTCCTTTATATTATTTCTATAGCCTACGCCGGCCGATATATCGAGATTTCTAAGAATCCCGGGAGCTCCCGCCTATAGTAGCTAGCTAGCTAGGATATATTGCGACTACTACTACTATCCCTATACTGCCCGGAGGAGCCCTTGTTACTATGCCTTAATACGGTAGGGGTTGAAGCGGAGGGGTTAGTACGCTATATAATACTTGACTCCCTAGATCTAAGTACTCTAGTCCTACGCCCTCGAATCTCGCTACTACGCGAATTACCTAGGCCTTTAGAAATATCGCCGCTACCCGCTACTAACCCTTTACTTCCTTTAGGACATGTGCCTTACTTTCGGATTTATATACAAACGCGCGTATACGCGCAAGGTAGGTGCCTCCCGTCCCTTCCCGCGTACCCGCGCCCTTGCTACGATAAAAAGGCGATCTTTCTCGCGCCTAAACTTCTTTATAAACAAATATACCTATACCGCCCTTCCCTCGACAAAGCGATAGGCGCTTATAGTAAACACTACCCTCCTTAATTAACTATTAAAAACCGACAAACCCCTACCTCCTCTACGCGACCCGATATACAAAACCCCCTCTACCGCCTCGTAAGCGCGTAATAGTAGAAGCCTCTAGTCGAGACCTTATTACGAGCGTAGCCTATAGCGGCATTTCCTACCTTCCTTCCGACTAGCGACTAAGCAATTACAATACCCTACTCGAATAGGTGCAATATCTTTAATCCGCTAACCTATCCCGCTAAACTAAAGTAGACATAATCTACGACAACCTAGGAAGCGTTAACAACTTTATTAAAGGCACCGAGCTAACCTGTTATCGGCTTAAGGAGGCGCTCTTTAAAGGACTGCCGAAAGAAATAGGAGATGTTCTTCGTACCCGAGGATCTACTATAGTATAGGCCCTCGAGTAGTATATAGGTAACGAATTTGCTACCCTATAAGCCGCCGCTACTCGTAGGAAGGCTACGGAAGATCGCCGTAAGAACGATATTACTAATAGTCCTATATTCTTTAGGAACTACCTAGACCTCTACAATGTCCGAGGTAATACCGCGAAGGAAATAGCTCGAGTCTTTAGGCTATAGAAGGATAGAAAGCTTAACAACTACGTAAACTTTAAGGACGCTAGCTAGGTTTCCGAAATTTAGCTTGTTCTTCGCATCCTAAGCAATTACTTATACCGCCGAACGCTTAAGGCGAGATAGGGACGGGTAGATGTTAATACCGTTACTATTACTGCTAAGGACTGCGCAGTAGATAAGGAGGACGATACTCGTAAGGAGGGTAAGAATAAATTCTTCTTTTAGAGATCGGAGGCTAGTAAGGCGAAGCTTAAGGCTGTTAGTATTCGAATTAGCCAATACGAAGGCCCTCCTATTATTGCTATTACTCCCGACGGGCGCCCTTTTTCGAGACCGCTAAGTAGCTATATTGAAGGTACTACTTCTAGGACCCTAGGGCTTAATGTCCCTCGATCCCGTATAGGTATATATAAGCGAATTAGTATACCTGTTAGATTACTAGTTGTATATAACCCGGCTAGCGACCCTCTAGCTAGATAGGATAGCTAGTAGCTATCGCCCGCTCGCCCTACTTAGCCTATCGGCTTTCGCTAAAATACGCCTCTATAACGTAATACGACTCGCCCTAATCTCCTAGTCGAAAACTCTTCTTCGCTGCCCGATCGGACTAGTAGTAGGAGTAGTAATAACAGCCTTGCTCTAGGGGCTCCGCCTGCTCGTCGAATTCGAACTACTACGCCTATCCCCCCTCTAGGAAGGACCCGTAGATCGAATAGACTTAATAAGCCGAGTAGAGATCTTGCTATACCCCTCGAGGAGAACCTAACCGACGACCTTAATGCCTTAGAACCTAAGCGGGGAGGTACTGTATACTATAAGGAACTAACCCCCGATAAGGACACTTAAATTAGAAATAGCCTAGCCTACTATAGCTATAATAGATTCTCGGAAGCCGACCGTAGTGCTTTAATATAGTACGATAGTAAATCTAATAACGCTACGTAAGGAAGAGCAATTGCCCTTATTGTAACTGCCCCTTACCCGCCTTATTATACTTATACCCGCTACCTGTTTAGGATAGTAGTTAGGTTTCGAGGAAAGGTCGGTTAAGAGCAGATAATAGAAACCTTAAGTAGCCCTAGATATAAGTACCGGAACGACCTACTCCGCCTTCGAACTAAGAGACCTAACCTATTTCGGAAGACTCGCCGTCCTCCTATCCCTAGCGACTACCTTAGACTATATCGCTTTTTCCCTAAGGCCTATAGTTACGAGAGCAAGACATACAACCCTTTAACTATTAAACGCGTTACCCTAGCGATTGCTACTAAGATTCGTAAGGCCTTCTCCCGTATAGGAGTAATAATAAAGGCTAGCTAGGATACCTAGGCAAGAGATAGTACTATTACCTTAGATAGCATTACGAGCGACAAAGGCTCTACTAAACTATATAGAGCGGCCGTCTTTAGTTAGTGTAATAATAAGAAAGTCGAAGTCGCCGCGGCCCCTCTACCCTTCGGAAAGATATCCCTCTCTAACTAGTTTAAGCTAGAGGCTGCAATATACCTTTAGTATTAGCGTTTAGTTAACGGAGTCTCGAATAAGGGTTAGCTTCGAACCGCCTTCTATTCTAGGTTCTAGCAGATCTACCGAGGAGACCCTGTCTACTAGCTCCTCTACGGCCTTACCCGCCCTAATTACGCTCTTAACCTAATCTCCTACCCGTACTACGCTAAAATAACTTAACCTAGTAACGGCGGTTCGACCGAGTTTGCCTATATTAACTAGTACCCTCTCGATCTCTAAGAAGGCATTGCTACAAACCAAGTTCAAGGCTCCGTATCCTTCCTCCCTAAAACGGTAGAGACTACTATAAAGGTCTTCGCTAGGATCTACTAACTAGAAGTCTTTAACAAATAGTATAAGGAACTTAAGACCCTTCGCTAGGAAAAGGGCTCTACGTACGCCCCTCGGGGTTACATTCTCTCTATTAACTACAATACACATTGCCTAAACACTAAGATAGAGAATACCCTTAATAACTTTATTAAGAACGAGCTAAAAGGCAAGTGTCGAAATGTAGGCTAGGAGTAGTACCCGGTCGGTACCCTTAGAGTACGCCTAACCCTTCCCTATCTTCTATACGGCGCTTAGGCATTACCGAAGAACACTAAGAGGATAACTATACTCCCCTAGTTCTACCGATACGACTTAGTAACTAGAAAGCTCGATTGCGAAGCTAGAGGTACGTTTTAGGAACTCGCCGCTACCTATCGAGACCTTCTTCCTAGCCCTACCTCGCCCTCTAGTCTTGCAAACAAGTACGGTACCCCTCCGTACGCGTTCCCGGCTATAGTGCGCCTACGCAATAACAACCTAATCTCGGAAGCCCTCGTCGGTCGATTAAAGTAGGACGATACTATAGTATAGCAATATATTCGAAGACTCTTTCGTAACCTTAACTAAGAAGGCTCCTTATATATACTCGAGAACTATTTAAAGCAGTATCGCAAGGATGTAGCGTTAGTATACTCTAAGATATTAAGTAAGGTTATTCGCCTCGAGTAGGAACGTTTCGGGGAGAAATCATTCTTTAAGGCCCTTATATAGTCTTTAAAAGACTAGAGTTGCATCCTAAACAATAGCGGAGATCGGTATATACGCCTAAACTAGGATAATTTCTACCGATATTAGCCTACGCCTAACGCTAAGGAGGAGTTTAACTAGGGAGGCTAGGGATTTATATACTAATAGGAACCTAGTAAGGCAGACCTTCCTGCTAACTAGCGGTAGTCTAGCGCCCCTTTAGCGAAACCTGCTACCTACGCTTCGAAGGTCTCTACTCCTAGTAGAGTACTCCCGAACGTTAACTCCTAGTAGCTTAGTACCCCTAAGAAACAGCCTCCTTAGCTATCTTCTTTAAAGCAGCCTACGAACCCTATAGCTAATCCGAATAAGCGACAGACCCGCTAGGATATACGGGCTAAGGCGACGCGGACCTAGGCTCTTATCGACTAATTCAACTAGTAGGGGCGAGGAGGCAATTATAGCGGCTAGGGCCGTAGAGGTAACTATAGTAGACTAGCGACTCGTAGTAGAAAGAAATAAGTAATAGGGTATAGCAGCTAGCTAGCTAGGATACCGTTATAGGATAGTCGGTTTAGTTTCTTTACGTGTTTGAGGTTTTTTAGTCCGGGAGGTAAGGAAGCGTTAGTCTAAGGGCAGACTTCTTAGTCCGGGAGGGAAAATATAGTAGGGAAACCCGGCTTAGTATAGGTATACCTAGTTGTACCCTCTTCCCCTGTTTTTGTATATCGGAATACACACAACTACCTTTATAATTAGGACACATATATACAATACAAGGAGACATAGCTACGACAATATATAGTAAGAGAGATATAGGAAATGTACCTAATCTAGCTACAATATAGCCCTCCCTACGTCTATTCTCTTCCTTTTAATATTTACAACGCTTTCCCTTCGAAGTATACAATGCTACGCCGACCCCTCGCAGTTTACTAAGTACTAGGCCTATAGTATATAGTTCCCTATATATATACCTCTACCTACGACCTACTCGTCCTACCTATACTATTTCGATAGCGTACTTAGCGCTTCTATTATATAGCTTCTTCTATACCTTCTTATAGACCTTTACTTGCTAAGGTTTGCTGCAAAACCTTTACTAGCGACGACTCGTAAAGGTATTAGCTTCTTAACCTTAAGCTCTACTACGGCTAAATCTAAGACCTAATTAGATATAATCGCTATTCGAGGGGCGATGCAGTTTTGTATAGGGCCACACTAAATTTAGCATCTACTGTAGAACCCTCCAAGGGGATAGCAGGGGTGTGGGTTCTACGGACTTAACCCTGGAGTTCGTTTAGGGGATGGCCTGACGCAGGCCCATCCTTTCCATCCACCCGCCTCGTGCGATTGGCTCGGGCCTGCCGTCGCCACGTGAAACGAAACCTACTCTTCCACTTCAGCCTCCACCACCACCACCACCTGCACGACATCGATATGCACAAATCACCCATTTCAGCAATACCACATCGAAATTGCGGAACAAAACATCTTCAAGCCACAGTCGGTGGTCGGAACGAAGCTGTACCACATGCGGTCAGTGCTGCACAACCACCCGGATGATCGCTGCCTACTTATTTCGACAGATTCTTCCACGCACCGGTCAACTCAGCCCTACGTACATCGCTCATCTTCGTTTTCGAACAATGGCCCACCTCAAAATTCAGAGAATTCCTTCATCCAACGCTCGAACCGCCCCTTCGCTCTTCTTCCCAGCCCTCGCCTCCCTCAAACCCTCCTCTCTCATCGCCTCCTCTACCTCCCTACGTCTCATGGGTGCCTCGTCCTCCCATCGGTCCAGATCGCTAAACAACTTGTAGATGCTGCCGAGAAAGGATTCCAACTTTTCGCTGTCGAGGCCATCGACCGGCACACTTGTTCTTAATCCCTCATAGATCTTCCTAGCTTGACGACAGTGCCGGCGAGGGAGGTCAAAGTCTCCAGTCACGCAAGAATCTTTCTCATCCGCGATCAAGTGCGCCATGTAGTAATGGTATCGAGCTGAAAAAGTGGCAGGGATGTGCTTTCTTCCAAGTTGGAACTGGCAGACGGCGTGGAGCTGTTGGAAGTTCTCGTCGGCCTTCCTTCGATCTTGATCACTTTCTAAAAACTTCTCTTCGATGGCTTGCTCGAGTTTCCACAGTGCGGGGATGTCATCTACCTGACATCTGCGGGCTTGCTCTATCAAGCTGGGCTGGTGCCGAGCTGACATGGTTTCGGATGACTGGTAGCTTGTGCTAAGCGAGCGAGCATGAGCCGAGAAGGTATTCGCTAAAATACTACTTCGGGTTTGCTGATGCTGCTTTGTGTCCCACGTCCTCGGGTTCTATCGCAGCCGCGAGAATCCTCATAAAAGGAACAATCGTCTTGCTAGATGGGTCTCCTCCCGAAGCATAGAATTAGATCGTATAACCGTAGAATATCCAATCGATTGCTTTCGCTCCAGCAATGTCCGGATGACCATTTGGACTCTCGAAGGCAAGACGAGCCGCCTGCGTTGTAGGAAGGCAGAAAGTAGGAGATTAAGCGGCTAAAGGTCGAACTTTATCCCTATAAGGTACGACTTATATACGTATTTTTGTTACTTTATTCTACCTGTTCTATACGGATAGCATCGGAATCTCTTTACTAACCTATTAGCTACTAAATTCTATAAAGCTAGTATTAATATAAATTATAGTACTACTACAATTATTAAATAGGAAATACTACATTAAAAATCAAATTCCTAGCAGATAGAGTTGTTCTTAGCTTAGTACCTAATCCTCTAGCCTATTTATTTTATAATACTTTTAATAATTTTAATAATTTTAGATTGTTAGGGCTAAAGAGGCTATACGTAATTAGTATATAACTAGGCTAAGTAAAGCTAGGGTCTTAGTGCCTTAGGCAGGGCTTGGCGCTTAGTAATAGGCTAACTTGCCTGCCTTCCTCCCTCTCCTCCTAGCTCCTTATCGAATACTACTTATACCTACTACTACCCTATCTACCTACTAATATAACCCTTCTTATATAGTATTCGATCTACCTTTTAAGAGTAGTAGCTAGATAGTCCTTATTTCAAGCTTTTAGCGGTATAGCTACGAATAAGACTAATCTAACTAGACCCCGTAGTAGTTCGGTTTCCGAACTACTAAACGTATATAGTTTGGTTTCTTAGCGGCGAACTAGCTCCCTAGTTCCGGTTTGGTTTTTTCGAACTATATAGATTCCTAGTTTAAACTAGAGACTATATTAGTTTTACTATAAGGATACTCTTATTCGACTGCCGGCTACGATTGCCGGCTATAATAGTAACTCTGTTACATTTACTACGCTCTTTTGCCGTTGCTAGGGCGTAGTTGCCGTTACTAGGGCGTAGTTACCGTTGCTAGGGCGTAGTTTTGCTATAAGGACACTCTTATTCGACTGCCGGCTACGATTGCCGGCTATAATAGTTACTAGGTTGTATTTACTACGCTTTATTACTGTTGCTAGGGCGTAGTTACCGTTACTAGGGCGTAGTTGCCGTTGCTAGGGCGTAGTTGCCGTTGCTAGGGCGTAGTTGCTATTACCGGGGCGTAGTTGCCGTAGTTGCGAAAGCTTACCTATATAACGTTACGTAGGCGGCAATAATTAGGGCTTCGCGACATTCTTATACTTTTAACTTCTTCCTCTATACCTATACCGACAACAACTACTATACGCTACGCCCCCGCCCCTTTCCCTTATAATAGCAAGAGAGAAGCGCGCCGCGCGCTAAATAGAAGATAGAACTAAAGACCGCGAGTTTGTTTTGCCTAAGCGTCTAACTAAAAAGCGCAAGACTAAAGAAGAGTACTCTACGAAGAAGAATTCCGTACGAGACCGCGAGAGAAAGGACAAGATAGATAAGGATAAAAGAGCTAAGGATAAGAGAAGAAAGGCGCGGAATAAGGCATTCTATCGATAGCTAGCGCCTATAGAAAAAAGTAAAGGTTAGAATAAGAAGACAACCTAAGAGAAGGCTAAGAGGAGGAAAGAATTACGGCTAGTTTTCGAGCGTAAAGTTCTAGTAGCGTAAGTCAATCTAGCTAGCGGCCGTAGCTAGCAGCTATAGCCGGCAGCTGTAGCCGGCAGCTATAGCCGGCAGCCGTAGCCGGCAGCTATAGCCGGCATATTTTTCTTTAATACGTTAACTAATAGTATTCAGACCTGTAGCCGCTACCTCTATCGATACGACCGATAGTAACGGAGATGTTTAGATAGCCGAGAACAACAATACTAGAGTTTAGGATACCGCGATAGAGCTTAATGCTACGAATAAAGGAACTAAAAAAAGCGAGGAGATACTATACGTCGATCTAGTAATAGGTACAGTCTTAGGGCCTAACGCTATAGACGATAAGCGCTAGGAGTAGATCGAGTACAGTTAAAGAGACGAGATACTAGTAAAGGGCTAAGGTATAAGTCCTATTAATCTAGAAAATCATAGTTAAAGCTACTACGAAAAGCTAGCAAGGATTAGAATCGAGACTAGTCGTCTTTATATCCTTAATATAGAGTAGAAGTTTCTTTATTAGTATTAGAGCGAAGCCTTTACGTCTATAAAGGCAAAGTAGCTTGCGATTAATGCGATCGGGGCTAGGTATCTAGGGACGGCAGAAGTGTTACTATAGGAGGAAGGGGTATAGGTAATTATTCTATACTCGGTATATATAGCCGGCGTTCGTAGCCGGCAGATACTAACAGTTAAATAGAAAGCGTTTCTCGAAGGCAGAGTGCTACTACTATATAAAATCTTTACTAAGGCAGAGAGGGCTTATATCCGGAATCTAAGCTGCTAGTAGGATAGGTTAGCGTTAGAATTCTCTAAATCTCTATATAAGCCTCCGAAGGATTACCTATTTTAGCGATACGGCTTTATCTCGACTACTCCGTAGGCACCCGAAGAAGCTCGAGCGCTCTTTAAGGTCTTTACTAAGAAGCGGAAGGAGTTCGAGGATTAGGATTAGTTAATAGAGCTGTTAGTTAGTCTTAGGTTTCGTAGTTAGACTCGGCCTAAGCATTTGCTTATCGAGTATCTTATATCGAAAGAGGATAGATTAAGACTAAAAACGAGCTTAGATTCGTTAGGTATAGTAGCTCGGTTCCGTTAGTAGGAGAGAGCCGCCGTATAGAAGGCAAAATTTAGGTAGTTAGGGTAGCTAGGAAAGAAATTCTAGTAGTTAGGCTAGCTAGGGTAGCTAGGAAAAAAAATCTAGTAGTTAGGTAGCTAGGAAACAAAAAAAAAGGTAGCTAGCTATTTACTACCTAGCTATTCCTAACGATACGATACTATAAAAGAAAGGGTGTTTCCCTATAGCTACTAGTATACATCTACTACTCCTAAGTCCTTACCTTACCGTACGAAACCTTAAAACATGCCGACCGATATTGTATATATACTAGGCGCTATACTAGGAAGGGTAATAACGAGACGACAGTCGAAACAGTCTAGTATACGAGCGAGATTACGACAACGTCGAGAGGAGGTTGTATACTTACCTTCGAGCCTATCGAGTCCTAGACGACGATTAGGGCTAGATTTATCCTCTCCGAATCCTAGTAGTAGGAATTTATTATAGGGTACTACTACCTAGTCCTTACCTTTACGGAGTCTAAGTAGAAGGTTGTTCGGAGATATAAGAATATCGAGTATTAACCCGGAAATCTTCGAAAAGGCTAGCTAGGCGTATCTTTAGAAACCCGAGTATATAGAGCAGTTTAATTAATAGGTCTATAAGATATAGTTCCCTTTATACTTACGTTCGAAGGAGTATAAACTCCGGAAGTACTCGATGCGATAGGGGAGTAAGGAGCGAACGGACACATTCTAGAAGTTCTTTATAGAGGGGGCATTGTACCGTTATACGACTTCTCGACTTAAAGGTTAACTAGTAATTATCTACAACTTCTACGGTTTAATCTTAAAATACCCGAAACTAGGAGATAGGAACTTATCGCCTACGAACTATCTCTATTCTAAACGGTATCGGGAATCTTAAGGAGAGAGGAGAGTTAATATAGATATAGCGTTCTAGAAAGAGGTACGTCTTCTAAAATGCCGGCTACAGCTGCCGGCTATAGCTGCCGGCTATAGCTACCGGCTATAGATTCCGGCTACAGATTCCGGCTACTTAAATTAACCGTAGAGGTCTAGCTAATTATTATAGGCTGCGCTTAAGGAAGCTCTAGGATTAAAGGCTACCGATTTCTCCCCCGAAGACTTTAAGCAACTAGCAAACGAAATGCTAGCTACAAACGGTCTTCCGGAAGACTTCTACGAAAGGGAGTCTATATAGAAGATATACCTATATCTTACAAACTACCCTCCCCTATTTCTCGGCGCGACAACCTAGCGTATTATATTCGAAAAGAACAAAGAGGCTACGTTAGACGACATTCGGGAGATCCTCCGTAATACTCGCCGAGTAGCTATTACTATCGATAGCTAGTTAAGCCGGACTATAAGAGCCTCCTTCCTCTCGATTATACTATACTTTATCAATTCGGATTAGAAACTCTAGGAACTTATAATCGGATTCCCTAAAATTCTAGGTTCCTATACTAGTAAGGATATAGCGAAGCTTGTCTATACGGCAACAGATAGGGTTAGCGTAATAACGAAACTAATCTCGATTACTACGGACAACGCTAGTAATAATTAAATATTGTATAAGGCGTTGTATATACAATTCACTCGTATATATCTTTGAAATTACTAATTATATCGATAGGGTCGAGCACGTAGAGGAGATTATAAGGTCTATAATCTAGCTTAATCTTCCGAATATTAAGCTCGCTACGATTCCGGATACGTACGACAATACGTACGATAATAATAATAAAGAGGAGCCTATTAATAGCCCTAGCCCTAACGAATCGGAGCCGACGTCGTTGCTAGTTACATCCCTATAGAAGTTTCCCTACCTCGCTTATATAGTTTAAATCGCGATCCGAGCCCTCTTTAAGACGCTTAAAATTGCACTATTAAACGACGACTAATAGAAGATCCTAGATAAGGATAAAGCAAAGTCGAAAGTCGAGAAACTTATTATAGCAATAAGACGGGATAAGGCAGAGAGCCTCGCTCTCGTTTTGTACAAGGTATAACTTTTGTCCGTAGCCGGCACCTATAGCCGGCAACCTAGCATAGTTCTAACTCTTTTTCTCTAGCTTCGTCGTCTAGCAATATATACGAACTCGAGCTTATAGAGATATAACCGATTCGAGGCTATTTAAAAGAACCTAATCGAGCGCCCTAAAACCGATGCCTAGAATATCGCATAGAATAAGCGATAGCAAAAGCGGCCTCCTTAGCGCCTACTCCGTTTTACTTAAGACGTTAAGACCCGGTTCGATTCGACTTTCTATATAGTTACGAGGGGATGTACTTTACGTACCGCTCTCGAGATCTATTAGAGTTCCGAGGGTATTAAGTAGCTCGGCCTTACCGCCGCCGAATAGCGCTAAGTAGAGTATCTCGTCGATATTAGTAAGCAT